CAAGAATGGTACTTGTTACCCAGCCCCCGCAGCGCCAGCGGAAGATACGGGCTTTGAGCACAGAAGGTCTTGTTCGAGGTGGAGATGGGGGAGGAGGAGGAGGACATTGGGGTGTGGAGGGGGAGGGGGAGGGGGAGGAAGAGAGGGAGAAAGAGGGATGAGTTGAGACATGTGCAGGTTGCTTGCCGCGGAGATCATGTGGACGCCAGAGGAGCCTTGGGAGGTAGAGGAGGAGGAGGAGGAGGGAGCAGGGAAGGGGGAGGAGGGAGAGACGGGAGATGAGGAGGAGGGAGAGGACATAGAGGAGGAGGACATAGAGGAGGAGGACATAGAGGAGGACATAGAGGAGGACATAGAGGAGGAGGAGGAGGTTCTGGAGGAAGATGATGAGGAGGAGGGAGAGGAGGAGGGGGAGGACAGAGAGGAGGACATCGAGGAGGAGGGATCTGAAAGGCTTTGCAGACTATTACCAAGGAGGATCTTATGTTGGAGTACCCCAAGCTTCTCCCCTTGTGAGAGTCGTTTCCTCTTCCTCCTCCTCTGTTTCAACGTTGATGGTGTTTCATTACACAAACAACGACAAGATCTTGTTCCTCCTCTCCTCATCCCGTCCATTCCACATACCGCACAAGCATGTAACAAGTTATGACCCCCTGCAAGCTCCGTCAATCCTCCATCTTGCCTCCTTTGTCCTCCCTGCCCCCTGCCCCCTTACCCCTGCCCCCTGCCCCCTGCCCCCTGCCTGCTGCCCCCTGCCCCCTGCCTGCTGCCCCCTGCCGGCTGCCGGCTGCCGGCTGCCCTCTGCCTCCTCATGTGCACATCGCCCCCCTCCACACTTGCCCTCGTCCTTCACCAACTTCCACCTCTCGCTCCTCCTCTCCACCTCCTCGCCTCCATCTCCTCTTTTCGTCTTTAACCTCATCTTCGTACTTCTCCTCTTGTTTCCTGCCCTTCTCCTCCTCCTCCTCCTCTTCCTCCCGCTGCTCTTCCTCATTGTCCCTGTCCTCGTCCTCGTTCCTTCTCCTGTTTCCTGCTCCCCTGCTCCCTCCCCCTCTTGCCATGGCTGATTTCCACCTGAGTGATGAGCACGCACGGTATTCCGATCTGTTGATAAGGCGTGAGAAGGGGGTACAATCAAGAGAAGAGAAGCAAAGGATGTTGTTGTGGTAGTTGATGATGTTGATGCTGCTGCTGCTGCTGCTAATGATGATGATGATGATGATGATGATGATGATGATGATGATGATGATGATGATGATGACAATTGAGAGGTTGCTGCCCATAATCACGATGATAAGAGAGGAGGAAGGGGATGGGTAGAGGATCAGTTCGGTACCTTCATCCATCGCATGGAAGTAATCGGATGTCCGGCTTTCTCACTCAACGTGACCTGGCCCAAAAAAAAGAAGGCGAGAAAGCCTTAGCGAAGGAGAAGGAGGAGGAGGAGGTGGTGGTGGTGGAGGTGGTGGAGGTGGAGGAGGTAGAGGAGGAGGAGGTGGTGGAAGAGGTGGTGGTAGTGGTGAAGGAGGAGGTGGTGGTGGAGGAGGAGAATGGGGGCGGGGGGGGGCGGGGAAGGAGAGCAGGGGAGAAGGGAGCAAGAAGAGGGAGGAACGAGCAAGAGGTTGAAACGATGCTGCTGAAAATTCAGATGATGATACTTACCGCAACAACATTGTTCGCACTTCCGACTATAGTTGCGTTCTGTAGCACACGGCAAGAAATACGTCACCTGCTGCAACTGCTGTTGCTGCTGCTGCTGCTCCTCGCCCTCGCTCTCGTCCTCGTCCTCTATCTGCTCCTCCTCGCCTTCTACCTGCTCCTCTTCCTCTCCGTCCTCGTCCTCTTCCTCCTCGTCCTCTTCCTCCTCCTCTCCTCACCTGCCCCAGTGATGCAGCGAAAGCAAGAGCCCACGCGAGGGGTTGCACGGGGAGATTGAGCTTTCTCGCGACAACCTGGATGAAAGAGGAGGATGAGGAGGAGGCGATTGAAGAAATACAAGAACATTCAAGCTGGAAGGAATAGAGACAGCGATGTGATGATAAGCAGAACGATGAGGAGGCGAAGGATGAGAGGAGGAGAGAGAGAGAAAAGGAGAGGGAGAGGGGAGAGGACGAATAGAGCAGAGGAGGAGAGCGGAGGAGAGAGGAGGGAGAGAGAGACGGGAGAGAAAGAGCAGGAGGAGGAGGTAGTGGTGTTCAGGAGGAGGAGGAGGAGGAGGATGGATGGATGGATGGATGGATGGATGGATATTGATTTGAGGCACCTGAATGACCTTGACAAGAGCTACGCAAAGAGGGATGGTGTCGAGGAAAGCTGCAGATGATTTCTATCAGCATTGCTCCTGCTCCTGCTCCTGCTCCTGCTCCTGCTCCTGCTCCTGCTCCTGCTCCTGCTCCTGCTCAACCCGTCTATCTGTCCCACCCTCTTCTCCCTCTTCTCCTTATCTTCCTTTCACTGCCTCTTAAGAACTACAAATCCGACCTGACATGACCGTGACGACCCAGAGAATGACAATGACGGCGACGGGGAGCGTGTAGGCCTGGAAGGAAGATAAAGGGGAGGAGGAGGTTGAGGAGGAGGAGGAGGAGGAGGAGGCAGAGGAGGAGGCAGAGGAGGAGGAGGAGGAGGTAGAGGAGGAGGTAGAGGAGGAGGAGGAGGAGGTAGAGGAGGAGGTAGAGGAGGAGAAGAAGGATGTAGAAGAGGATCGGAAAGTTCAGTGTCAAGGAGGGATGACACAATTCCTACTTGAGGAGCGAGGGCGATGAATGAGGACAAGGAGCGACCCATGGCGTCGATCAAGCGGAGCCTGAAAAGAACTCAGGAGAATGAAGAAAAAAACGAGGGAGAGGGGAGGGGAGGGGAGGAGCGGAGAGGCGAGGCGAGGCGAGGCGAAGAGAGGAGAGGAGAGGAGAGGAGAGGAGAGGAGAGGAGAGGAGAGGAGAGGAGAGGCAAGGAGAGGAGAGGAGAGGAGAGGAGAGGAGAGGAGAGGGGAGGGGAGGAAACCTCGTGCAAGCTTCAACCAGGACGAACAGCCCTTCATGGTCTCAGCAGTAGGTTCAGTGAGCAAGTCAATATCACCGGCCAGGTACAAGAACGCGTCCCACTCCATCCTCTGCCCAGCAACTGGTGAGGTCGAGCAGGGGATAGAGGACACTTGCCTGCATGATGGGGATGATGTTGACTGGGTAGACGAGGAGGAGGAGGAGGAGGCCTCCGCCGAAGGCGAACCAGGACGGGTCAAGACCTGACGGAGGAGTCAGAGGAGGAGAGAGGAAGAAGAGCGAACCTGGGATGGGAGAGAAGAACATGGCGAGGATGACGGAGACAAGGATCAACGAGGAGGCCTGAAGGACAGCCTTGTCCTGTAGAAGGGACACGATGAGAAAGGGAGAGGAGGAGGGTGGAGACAGGAAGAGGGAGAGGGAAAGGGAGAGGGAGAGGGAGAGGGAGACTGGAGGAGGGGAGAAGTAGAAGCAGAGGAGGAGGTGGTGGTGGAGGGAGGGGGAGGATCTGGAGGGGGTTGGGGGAGGAAAAGGATGACGACTTGGAGGGGGAGGGGTTGGTGTGAGAGGTGGGAGAGGTCGGCTCCCACCTATCACCGTCGGTCTCTCTTGCTTTGTTGTGTCTACTCCCTCGCAAACCTTCGAATCAAAACACGATGAGTCCACGGCAGGCCTGATGTCATCATATGTGTTGTTCAACCTTTGTCTGCTTCCAGCAAATTTTGTCTATCAGGGTTTCAAGCTGCAAAATGTTTTCAGAACTTCTTCTTCATCCCAAGGAGCCGACAACAACCGAGTCGCTCTTCTGCGCAAGGATCGATTGCTCCACAGTATCCTCATGATCGCCTAGGAACACCTGAGAACAACTCAGCTGCACATGCTCCTGCACATTCTCGCTCCTCTGTCGACTACCTTGCAGGCTTGCACCATTGTCGGAGGGGGGAAGTCGTAGATACTGAACAAGTTGGAGCGTGTCATCGTGTTAGACCACAGCGTGTCAAGAACACCGGAAACTTTCCATCTTGCAGACT